CAATAAGGGCGCATCACGAAAGATGTAGACTCATCAGGTTACAGCTTCACTTTCGTGATCAATGTCGCTTAGACTATCTGCGAGTTCTGAAAAATCGTTCCGATTCTCGGAAAGCTCTTCCGGTTTCCGATGAAGTTCATGGCTATCAAGAGGTGCTTCCAGCTTTTCAAAAACTGCTTCCTTCTCGAGCGCCCCGTGGTCTCTAATACAATTATCGCAGTTCCATTGCTAGAACACATGAATGAGCGCAGTTCGGCTGGATGATAGGGGAGCAGTAGGAGGGTGAAGGGGGAGGGGGGGGGACAAGGCTTGTGACGAATATCTGTCACTTCTTGTAAATCAGTGAACACAACAACGAGGAGCTGCGAAAGTGCAAAATGTCCTCTACCCCTTAGCCGGACTGCACCTGAATGCTCGCTTTACCACGCCAGAAGGAATCTTCCCTATCGATTTTTTGGGAGCTAATCAATAATGTTTATCGACTACCTACCGCTCGGATAGTCTTCGCCTCAGTGAGCTGGATTGAACGTAACGGCTGAATTACGTCATCGGTGAGAGCTGAGCCCAGATTGCTGTAAAAAATCTCTTTTCGATATTGATCGTTATTGATTTATGTAGAAGATATCTAGTATCAAATATCCCCGACACACCTGTGAATCGTGGCCTGCACGTCGAACTGCTCAGCAACCGATGTCCATCCTTTATCGATATCACTGAAACAAAATCGATTTGAAGAAGATGTTGGCTGTTATCGATTTATGTGGAGGATATATATCGATTGATGACGTCATTACTAGCATTCCTAATTTAGGCCCTAGTTTGTTCGGCCTAATTTTTATTTCGAACATATGCTTTGCGTCTCACCCTTAGCAAAACAGCAACCTTCGGGCACTCCACTAGAGGCATGGCTGGGGGTGGGCCGTTGCTGTCAACGTCATTGGTGAAGGGGCTGAGCGGGGTGTGGCCAGAAGCCCTCTTGCAGCCCTTCCACCAGTGACTTGGTATAACCGCACCTCCCCAACTATTGTGCCCACTGCCTTCGAGGCTCAGAATTGATAAATTGAAACCGAAAAAGTACAGTTGTTGTGAACCCTGCCACTTTTGACGCGCCATGCGTTTTACTTCCGTTCGTTTTTGAACAGGAAGATGATTGGAGATGTACATAATATAAGTCAAATTGTTATGCTCGTTCCATACATTTCCCCGGCACTGCCTTCAAAATTGTAAACATCCGTGAAAATTCTTACTGCGTATCGGTACAGGCGATGAGTAACATTCCAGGTACCATACAATTCAATGAGAAGAGCCCTTTTACTATTTTGTTTGTTCCTAGGTGCCCTGACCACGCCCTTCATAGCCACACCCACCTTTCAGTCATATGGGTGGCTCGGTGCAGATTCGCTGAGATCTTCTTCAGCGACTTGGAGTAGTGGAAGTCGAGTGCAGCTCTGAAATAGAATCGGTTAATTACTAGTAGCTAGATACTGAGGGACTTCAAAAAAATATTTCCGTTTCAACAGGAAATATTTCCGTTCCGACTTTCTCAGTCTTTCCCTTTCTCAGTTTTCAAAAGCCCTATACATTCTGCTCCACCCTCCGCTTGACGCGGGAAGTTTTTTGGGGGAAAATGGAGGAAGTTCCATTGAAAAACTTGAATTTCAGAGATGGTAGGTAAGGTGGGGGAAGGGGTCGTACTAAACGAGGACGTTCTAAGGGAAACATTTCCAAAAGATTCCCCTAACAGCAGGACGTGCCCTGGATATATAACTGTGGCAAAGACATTGACTGATTCCTACAGAAATAGGCTTTGTAATGGACTACATTACGAGTCATGTGTCCTTTACAATGGTTAATAAGCCCCGTGCAAAGCGTGACGGTCAAGGGAAATGCAAAATCTGTGCTTTTTCCTTTCGAGGAGAGTTTGGTAGCAATGGACACACCTCCGTTGAAAATAAAGGACTAGGTTTATACGGGCGGATTTGAACTAGGGATTTTACCCACAAACCGAGTATATGAACGTGATACGTTGAGGATCTCCAACAAGGGGGTCGTTGAGGATCACTAGAGGTAGGGGCATCGTATTTGTCTCCGAGGAAATGTACTTGGTTGTTGACTTTTCTCAGGTTTCCCTGTTTCAAGCGCGCTGCGGACCCCGCTCGACGACAGTTTTTTTCAAAAAAAGGAGATATTGGGAGTGGAGAAATTTGAGCTTCTGAAATCTGGAGAATTCGGAAAGAAAGGAGAAAAGAGGTCTGAAGTAGGGAGAATCCAGGAATATAGTAGGTTGGATGGGGGATGCAGAAGGGGGAATCGTATCAAAGGAGGAAATTTTGAGGGGGAATTGTACGCCAATAAGTCCTTCTCCAACGGCAGGACGTGCCCTGTTGGAAGGGTACAGTTAGCTCTGCTTATCTGC